CTTTTTTACATTCCATTAACATAAGTAATAACCTATTTAGTTTATGTGTTTGGTTTTAAATACACTTTAAATTGAACTGTTGCCTACTAAGGACCTCCAATCTTTTGGAACTGACTAGCAACCACAAATCAGAAATCACAAATCCCCAGCACAAAAATCCTAATTGAGGACCTAGGATGTACCTTGTACGCCCCAGTGTCCTTTCTCCACAGCCCACGCCTACACGAGTAGTTGCCAATACTTGCGGTCAGTTGGAGAGCTTGAGTCTTGTTCTATGAATCATAGCTACTCTCAGCAGCTAATTCAGCTATGATTGATAAAAACAGCTGCTGCATGGCAGTCTGCTAAAATGTCAAATTCAGCTGGTTGGCGGTTTTACATGGCAGTTGACAAAGAAACCCTGAAAGCAGGAAAAACATTTTAGTTTATTTTTTTTATAAAGCAGAATTAAAGTATCATTAATATTAATAGTAAAGTATCTTTTTACTAGTCATTTTTTAAAATTGCAAGTTACAATTGTGCATGCACGCATACTTGTAAATCTGTTAACTTGGACTTTATCCATATATTTAATGTTACCGACGCCATCTTGTAGAGTCTGATCTATTACATCTGCTCAATAATACTGGGAGGTGATCAGGGCAATTCGGTTGTCTGAGCGAAGTAATGCCGTCATTTCCTTACAGGACATTCTCTGTAGGAACTACTTTCATTTTGTTCCAGGAACTAGGCATGTAATCGGGTGCTTTTATATCCCCATCCTCACTCCTTCCTGTATTTTATATACTAAATGCATTAATCAAATGATAAGGCAGGACAGGGAGGAGATACACTGCTTAAAATTCGTGACTAGTTTCCCACCTATGTAATGTTACAGTACAGACGGGGTTAATTGTGATAATGACACTCCTTTATCAGTTGTAAAATAGATTTGATCAATGTTTGTCCCAACAAAGGGTTAAAGATCCAGAAGCAGGGTATGTTAATGAGAGGAAGCTCCGTGTGTCCCTAGGCTTTCAATGGGGACAGGCTTCCTTTCAGATTGTTCAGTGTAGCTTGCAGTCAGCAACAAAGGCCTTCTCCAGAGAAACGTCTAAAAGCTAAGAAATATTTGTAAAGTATTATTAGGTATGCTGCTTGAATAGGAAAATATACCAAACATATCATGGGGTTTTCTCAAATTTGACTGCAAAGGTGGAAATATACCTTGGGCTTCATGTATAAAACTTCAACCGGCGTGTAGCCAGACGGATGCCGTTGGCACAGCAATAGCGCCATTATCTGGTGGGTGGAAGTTTTATTTATAAAGCCTTTTTATACATGGTTATCACTCAAGATCTCTTTCCTCTTCCTGCTCTCTTTTAGTTTTTTGTTTTTTTTCATTTAAAAAAAAAATTAAATAAATGAAAACAGTATATATGTGTGTGTGTGTGTGTGTGTGTGTGTGTGTATATATATATATATATATAGATATAGATATAGATATAGATATAGATATAGATATCTAGATATAGATATAGATATCTAGATATAGATATAGATATCTAGATATAGATATAGATATCTAGATATAGATATAGATATCTAGATATAGATATAGATATCTAGATATAGATATAGATATCTAGATATAGATATAGATATCTAGATATAGATATAGATATCTAGATATAGATATAGATATCTAGATATAGATATAGATATCTAGATATAGATATAGATATCTAGATATAGATATAGATATCTAGATATAGATATAGATATCTAGATATAGATATAGATATCTAGATATAGATATAGATATCTAGATATAGATATAGATATCTAGATATAGATATAGATATCTAGATATAGATATAGATATCTAGATATAGATATAGATATCTAGATATAGATATAGATATCTAGATATAGATATAGATATCTAGATATAGATATAGATATCTAGATATAGATATAGATATCTAGATATAGATATAGATATCTAGATATAGATATAGATATCTAGATATAGATATAGATATCTAGATATAGATATAGATATCTAGATATAGATATAGATATCTAGATATAGATATAGATATCTAGATATAGATATAGATATCTAGATATAGATATAGATATAGATATAGATATAGATATCTAGATATAGATATAGATATCTATATAGATATATCGTCCTAGTGGCAGAGTCACTGTTGACTATGCCATAAAGTTTGAGAGCTAACTTCCTTTTGTCTGCCTGTGCTCTTCTTGGTTACATTGTTTCTACCTACAATCCCCCCCTGCCACCCTATGTGATAGAGTAGAGGAGGTGCTTAGTAGCTTTGTCCTAGGGTGACAACGCCCCTCCTCCATAGATACAGCGCAACAAGTTTTTGTTGTCACCCTAGAACAGGAAGTGTTACTGGCAAGATCACCAGTTGTGAAAGTAAAGGGAAATAAAGTACCACCACATCGAAGTCCTTTCAAGAGGCAATACATTAAATTTTCATTCTTGAATTCTGACAGTGTACACTGCATGTTCCTCACTCTTTCTGCTGCTGAGTGAGGAGAGAGTATTTTTCACATAAAATATTGATAACCTTACTTTCATTGCAGACCTCATCCACTTTGCAGCAAGCGGAAACCCTGCTTTCTTTGTTTACCTTGCTTTGCTATTCAGGATGTATGCATCTGTGGAATGGGGAAGGTGGGGTGGAAACCCTCCAACCCGATCCCCACAAAGCAGCATAACATTATGTAGCGTGGCCTGGCTGCCTGCTACCAAGATTCTTTTTATGCTAAAAGCTTCTATAGAGTTAACAGGATCTGTTTGACTTTGGCAAATACCTGTCAGCTTTATTACTTTTTTACTCCGAATACTGTACAGAGTCTGTTGCTGCTTTATGTACTATTGCGCAATGCAGTGTTGATGGGAAAAGTAATCGTTCTAGGGCAGCTTCTCTCAACCAGGGTTCCTTCTGGCCTCCTCAGGGGTGCCTTATAATTTTGTGGTAGTGTGACTGTGATGTGAAGGGGTAATGAAGACTGATGTGAAGGTGGAACTCTGATGTAAAAAGGGGGGGGGCGCATGTGCATCTTTCATTTTCTGACAAAAGCATTTCTCATTATGTCTGCTTTTGTATTACACCACATGATTTGGGGCACAGTCACTTAGCTCCTCTACTTGTACTCCCAACACAGCAACCCCCCCCAAAAAAAATTGTCCAGAGCCAATCCTGAAGAAAAGTCATGTATTCCCAGTCATGTGGCTTTTATCAGCATAAGCCGTTGATAATTACCAGGTCAATCAAGGGCATGGTGATCATGAATGGTTTGATAAAAGCAGGTGGCATGTGTAAAAATGAATTACGGTAAACAAATACAAGCCACAACAACAACAAAAAATTCTATCCCTTTTTCTTGTTTTTTGTGTGTGCAATATGCTTTATATGTATAATATGAGTTCTTTTTACACAGTAGAGGATAGCAACTTTAAGGCCCCATTCACACCAGATCCATTGGCATCTCTTTTTCAAAGGATGCCAACACAAGGACATCTGACAATGAATGGGTGAGAATAGAAGCAGTCCACACACTGTCCTCTGCTGAAAAAGTAGAGCGGGCTCTACTTTTTTTAGCACAATGCAATGGACTGGTGTGAACTACTAATGCATGTCAACACAAGGCAGAACCAATACCTTGTATAGCTAAGTGAAAAGGTCAAAGGAAAAAAAACAAAACAGCCCAACGTAACGCAATGGATGTCAACAGACTATGCAAATGCAAGTCAACGTACCTCCGTCAACTCGGGTTTTTGGTTTCGATTCCTGTGTAAATGCCTCCTTAAAGGACAGTACAATAGGCTGTTTTAATTGGAGGTTAAAACTCAAATAACAATAAAATATGCACAAAAAAAAAATAAGGAATAATACAAATACAGTATGTTTTACTGTCTTGTGTTTTCAAGTTGCTATTTTTTGTGCCTTTTTTTTGTAGTGTGAATAATATGGGGAGGAGAGCAGTGTGAAGGGTATGACAGAGGGCTGTACGTGTTGGAGAGGGGTGAGGAGGGTAAGACAAGATGGGTACTGAAAGTGTCTATTGTAAATGAATGCTTGTGTGTTGACTGTGTGACATAGTATCACTTCAGAGTCTATGTGAGGACACAGAATGCAAAGGGGAAGAGAATCAGACATATGCAGGAGGAAAATTTAACATTGCTAAGGAGCCTGTATATGGGGGAGTGCAACCCTGAGGACAACAGAGGGACAGAGGTGCTGCATGAGCCATGTTACTTTTGAAGTTTACTATGTGCAGCGAACTTCTAGTACTGCTGTCAGGCAATAGAAGGAGCTCTTCTGCAAAGAAATAACAGAAGGGACTAAAGATGCCTCCATTGTTTTATAGTGCTCTTCTCTTGAAGGATATAGGATTGCCCTGTGAATCTGTGGTGCTGCATGAGCCATGTTACTTTTGAAGTTTACTATGTGCAGCGAACTTCTAGTACTGCTGTCAGGCAATAGAAGGAGCTCTAGTACTGCTGTCAGGCAATAGAAGGAGCTCTACACAATAGAAGGAGCTCTACACATACACACACACACCTTTTCTGCTTGTTTCTATGGAGCAAACCTTTCTGGAGAATAAATTCTGAGCAAACTAAAGGTTTTAAGTGGCGGGGGGGCATCATGTGGTGTTTTTTTTTGGTTGATATTCTGTCTCTATCATTTAAAATACACCTATGATAAAAATTATACACCTTCCATTTCTTTGTAAGTGGGCACATTTACAAAATCTGCAGGGGATCAAATAATTTTCCTCACTGTAGCAACTTTATAAAACACAATGTGACTATAAAAAAATCCACAATCATTTGTGACATGATTTGTGCATATTGCCTTTTGATACACAACTTGAGCAGCAAAGTGTCTTCAAACTATTTTGAGGTTGGCATGATTAATATGCATTAATACATGTAATAATAATTGAATTTTTTTATTTCATCTTTAAACAGACTGTTCAAAATGGGGGGAGAGAAGAAGCCACCCCAGGCGATACAGGCCCAGAAACTGGCTGGAATCTTGCGGGAGGACAGTGAAGGGGTCCTAGTAATTGATTGCCGATCTTTCACGGAGTACAACAACCTCCATGTAGTGGGTTCCGTCAACCTCTGCGGCTCCAAGCTGGCCAGGAAACGTCTTCTAAAAGAGCTCCTAGGGCTGCCTCATCACCCTAAGGTTAGTAGTAGTTGTAAAGGTAGTACTTGCTTCTAAAGCCACCAGGTTAAAGAGATGTGGCTTTTAGTCCCACAAACAAGTTGCCACTGATGTTCCTCCAAGTAAACAGTACACTTTGACACTACTTTTAAATCTGACTCTTCTGACTTGTCAGTGACTATGAATCATCCAGTCTTAATATAGGCTAGCTAGTATAAATACTGTTGGAGATTAAATATGTGCAACAAAATGACTTGGGTACTGTTCATGATCATTTTTTCATTTGTGGTATACCTTAAAATGAACCTGCGCTTTGCCCACTTAAGGCAAAGCAACAGGGTCACCTTAAAGCACATATTGCAGTAAAAAAAAAAAAAAATCAAAGTCCACTTAATATATCACAGCCCATTCCCCCATCATAAATAGGAGCTTTAAAGTATAAAAAGACAAGTTTTAATAAATACACTTGCCCCTAGCTTCCACATGTGATGTTCCGGGTCTTATGGTGAGATCTTAAGGTATGCAGAGTATCCCAAATATTGTAAGTAGGTGCTGTGCTGGAGTGTCTTCGTGCTAGATTTAGGATACTCTGCATTATATGGGATCTCAATGGAAGAATTGGAAATTGGGGATCTCAATGGAAGAATCATGTCGCCACACAGCTAGGGGTAAGTATATGTAACCAATATGTACTTACTGTTTTACCCACACTTATTAAAGCTGCTATTTACAATGGGGAAGATGCCCTGATATATGAAGTGGAATTAGTTTGTTTTTTTCCTCCAAGGTCCGATTTTTAACTTGATCTTTCCTAGCAGTATAAATGTTCCTGTGCATGCTACAAGTCACTGGAGTCTTACCCAACACAGGGCTGTGGAATCCCCCGTGTGACAACGCTGATTGTGCCAGCGCTGTTGCATGCTCTTCCACCCCCAGAGGAATTGGGTATTTCTATTTACTTCTAGTGCTGAACAGAGCAATGGTGGAGCAAAGATAGTGTTACTATGCTCTGGGAAGGGGGAGGGATGAAAGCAAACCTGTTGCTTTGCCCTGGATTGCAAGTTTGGTTTTAAGGTTCGCTTTATTTATTCACTCTAAAGTATCCAGAGTAAATTTAAATGTTTTTTTTGTGGGGAGCAACATACGTCTCACATCCAAAATGATTGTCATAGTCACCACCCAGCAAATCAATTTGAAATATATTCCCTTCAAGGCATAGGGTGACTCTACAACATTTGCATTTAGTATCCCATACTGAATTTAGAGACCTTATTATTGTCGCCATCTCGCATAGGCAGATTTACATTATTTGGAAAAAAATATCAAAATGTATTTGTGCATTTAAAAAAGTGTAAATTATTAGAGGGGATTCAAAAAGCCAAGAACATTATACCAGGGGTGAGGCGAGCAGGCAGATCCCTGGTGATCTAGTGTGCTTAGTAAGGTCTGCAGACCTTACTAATCACTTCGTTTTCGATCCGGAGCTCAGTGAAGAGCTCCGGCCGAAAGGAAGGAAGACAGACCAGCAGGAGCAGCTGCTCCCACGAGTCAGGTACGCGGTCTGAGACCGCAAGCCTGATACGAATTTCCACTTGCCTGCACTGCATTTCCACTTGCCAAATGCGAGCAGGCGAGTGGAAATTTTGAGCCCTGCATTATACCATCCTTCGCATTTGTGAATGGGTTTCATGGACAAATTAGCTTCTTAAGGACGAAACATCAAATTTCTTTATCTCATTGTACATAACATGTCCAAATGGTGATAATTCATGCAATTTTCAAAATCTCTTCTGACCATTGGGTCTTGCATCCCACCTAAAACATCCAGTGCCACTGATTGGTAGGTAAGTGGCAGAATCCCCTACTAGGGTTTTGTTCCAGTTTGAACTGGCACAATAAACTTTGATATGCAGATCAACATGACATTTGATTAAAAATAAGTGAGTTGGTGACAATAATAGTCTTTCTATGAATCCAGTATAGATTATTATATGCAAATGTTGTAGTTACCTGTGCTCTAGAGGAAATATACTTCAAATAAATGTGTTGATTCTAAAGTATATAAAGCTGGCATCCTTTTGAACAGTGCAAGTTAAAATGCATAGTTAACTTTGTTATACTTAGTTGATATGGTGTTTACAGAATTTCTTCAATTTGTTTTTTGGTTCAACTAAACAGATTGACCCTTCTTTTGAGAAGCAAGTTGTGGTATATGATCAGGGCAGTCAAGAGCTATCTGCTGGCCATTTTGTCTCATTGGTGGTGGGGAAACTGGAGAAAAAATACAGCTCAGTTTCTCTTCTAGAAGGTAAGAAGTTTCTGAAAGAAGTCACATTTTAACTATAGTGAAATTGTATAGAAGGCACCTTTTGGCAAAGTGATCTGCATCCAAACCTATGAGATCTGACATTATGTTGAGGAGCTCTCTGCATTGTTTCGCCAGGGGTGGTTATTTTTCTGCTTTTTGGATTTTAATTTATTTTACATCATGGATAATGCAGATTGGGTAACACTGGTGATTACATTTCTCTGCTGAAATCTCTAGAAACTGTAAGATTCCAAAGGGAAATTATGACCACCTACATCCATGCCATACTGAAATGTCACTTGTTATAGTGACACTAAACTCTGCTTTTAAATCTCAAAAATGCATTCAAGAGCCTTAACTATTAAGAAAAATTTAATTAATTTGTGCATCGCTCAGCTGTAGATTCTCAAATACTTTTTATCCCCATGGTCCCTGTGTGTGTTGTAAAGTAGCCAACACTCCAAGATCGCTCCCGCGGTGGCCTACAATCTCAATACAAATTAGTAAAGTCAACGTGAGATTGTAATTCATAATGTGAGCCAGCTTGGAGTGGTGGCTACTTTTATAACACACAAGGACCATGGGGAATAAAAGTAGCCACCCTCCAAAAGGATGGACAATGTCAGCACAAATTCAGAGATGATTTGAGGATCTACAGCTGAGTGATGCACAAATAAGTTTCATTTTGTTAATAGTTAAGGTACTTGAATGCATTTTTGAGATTTAACTGTTGAGTTTAGTGTCATTTTAACTTGCATCTGGATAATAACTTACATGTTCTATGCAATAGTAAAAACTGTAGCCATTGTAAATTCACAAAATGTGGCACTTTTTTACGCCCATTCAACGTTGGATCCCACAAGATCATCCTAGACTTCTCAGAACAACCCATCCGTAATATCTACCCAGGTCACCAAAAGTGAATCGGCCCCACCGTAATCGCCAACAGATGCCCGCTCGCCAACCGAACAACATCAGCAGTGAGGCGTCTACCCGGGCCACAAGCTAAAACTTAGATCCTCTCAGGACAAACTGATCCCCCTTCCCAACGGGATCACAGAACATCCTGTAGGACTCCTTCCACCCTTCATGAACACCGAGGCGAAGCCATCACTAACACCTCTCATGCAAGTTTAACATCATCAGCTGTGAGGGTGAGTGTACATGTTTTTTCTATTCCATTGCAACATCAAGTTACACACATCCTCTGCTCTATTTTTTGGTTTTCCCGTTATTTAATACTGCATCCTTCTTCCCCACCCGGCGGACCAATCGTAGACTTTTGCAGCCACTGGATGACCCACCTGACACCAGGCCACTCCTCATGGTCACAAACTGCTGAGCTTCCTTCAAACCCCGCCACATGGGAGTGCATATCATGGAATATTGTGTTGCCCCTTTAAAAACCTACCTTATTGCGCTAGGTTGTGGCGCTCCGGTTCTCTCTTTTTGTTTTTCAAGTGTTCAGCCATCCTGGGTTCTTGTGTAGTGCTTGACATTGATTAAAACCAGCTGACAAATGTCCCTTTAAGAGGTAACCTTTCCAGAAAGAAACATAAAAGCTGCCATTGTGAACTTCTCACACTGCAAATGCTAGCTGCTTGGCTGTGATGCTGACCCTCATGTCAATAGTGTCATTTAATCAGAACAAGTATGAAGAAAAGTACTTCCAACTTTCCGGATCTGGACACTTGTTCTGGGTCAGTGACTTAGAAAACATTAAAGCCATTATGCATTAAACATCAAAGGGCTGCACAAGAGTCAGGCAACAAGAATTTTTATAAGGGATATTAGTAATGGCAGCCCCCATATTTCTCCTAAGAAAGATTAACTTTTTAATTAGATCTACTTGTTAACAAAGTTAACCCTTGCAGCGGGACTACCCCTGCACTGCAAGGGTTAACCGCCCATTTTGGTCTAGTGTCCAGAATACAGAAGATATACTAGGGATGCACAGATACCAAGTACAGTACTCGGTACAAGTACAAGTACCGATACTTTTGAGCTCCAAGACTACACTAGAGAAAAATTCAAAAATTAGGAGGCAGCTGTCATTTGTAAGGATCACACGGAGCTCCTGGGATTTGTACATCTCTGTTTTAATGTAGTATTTTTTTTTTTTATATATATATACTTCAAGGGAGATTTCTTTAGTTTAATCTTGCTACGCAGAAACTTCATGACAATGCGAGGCAGTATTTAAATACAAATGTTTATCACCATTTCAATGGAAGCACTGGGTGAATAAGCAGGTATTCCATTACAGTGCACTATTTTTGAATGGTGGTAAAACAATGAGAAGGAGGACCTAAGTTACATTAAGAAAATGTGTCTTATTGATTTTTCTTTTCCCATTCAGTTTAAAATTGTTCGACTGACGAATTAATCTATTTCTGAGTTATATCATATTCTGAGAGACTCAGCAACTGTGCTGTTACTGAATTTCACAGTATGATGCATGATCCCATGTCTATGTGGCTTAGGTCATTGCCCTAGAGAAAAACCTCAGTGAGGCTGCTGAATGGGGATAGTGTAGAGGAGGGGCTGTTGGAGGTATTGGGATGTACTCTCCATTTCAGCATGAATCATCTCTAAAAATAATAATATGACCACCTGTGTATGAGCATAGGATTTTTCTCTGGGTCACAGAAGGCAGTTGGGTATCACCAGACATCAAGTCTTAAAGGAGAAATTAAAACAAAAAATATTATTAAAAAAAAAAAAAGTCTAGCATTTAAACATACTTAAAAGTGTTAACTGCTTATTTGAGCTGAAAACATTTTGCCAAAGGAACCTGTTGGAAATACCTCAGCCGGACAATCCGCTGCAAGCACCGTTCAGGTATTCCGACATTGGAATTGTCGGAATAGTTCAGAACGAGAGATTTGTCTATCCACGCTGTTCAGAGTGGATGGAGGGATCTATTATATTTTTTGTTAAGCCCTCAGGTAGGTCGAAAAAAAAAAAATGAGAAGCTGTTAAAAATGCAAAATACTTCAAACGATTACTTCGATTCTTTGCAATGGCAGAGCAGTTAATAGGCATATTTGGTTCCCTATAGCACCCACATATATTTAAACCAGATGGTTATATGGCAATACATCAGCTTCTTTCACTCTCCCATATAGAGGTGTGAGCAAGAGGGTGAGATTGTGGTTGGTTGCTACTAACACAGCAGACTGTTTAAGACATTGAGAAATTGGCACCTATTGTGTTTTATGTATGAAGATTGGCATTGGTATTCAGTTCCCCTTTGCTTTGTTCCACAGGAGGGTTTGCAAACTTCTCCTTACAGTTCCCCAACTTGTGTGAAGGGCGAACCTCGAATATTTTTCACACCAGCATATCCCAACCCTGCCTGTCCACCTCAACAGTGTCTGTTACCCGTATCCTGCCGCACCTTTACCTTGGCTCCCAGAATGATGTCATGGATCAGGTATGACCCATAAACATAATACACAGATCATGTTACAGGAAGCTTCCTCACAGCTACCTGGTTTTTAATCTTTCTGAAAGTATCTAGACTGCACATGTTAAAAAGAATAGCCGAGATCATATTGGTTACTATAAATAGCAGGCACCTTCTTTCATTTTGGACGCTTTTGAGGAACATTATGTGTCTTTAAATATTTGCTGTTGCCTTGCCTCTCTGCTTCCTCAAAAAGCAATGATGATGTGCAATATTATCACATTAAAAAAAACGCAGATAAGTTTGACTAACTGGTCATAATGTCTGGGTCCAGCATTAGGTGGGTTGTGGAATTTGTCTTTGTTTTTTTTTTTGCAAAAATAGAAGACACATGCTATAACCAGGGGTAGGCAAACTCCAACCCTCCAGCTGTGCTGAATTACAAATCCCATGTAGTTGCACCACAGCAGCGAGGGCCAGAGTTTGCCTACCCCTGTGCTTTATGGTGCAATGCAGCTGATTTTAAGCATCTAAGGCTGGCAATACACTATGCAGTGTGCTTGTTCAATCTCCTTTTTAGAGTTTCCAAAACTGTAATATAAGGACAATTCTATACAATCCATTCAATTTGCATCAGATTGGGCAGACTCTTCCTCTACATAATGGTAGTTCTAAAGGAGATTGTATAAAGTATGGCTAGCTTTAGAACATCACTTGCCCAAAATTTGACTCATGATGTCATTGTACTGTGTGTTTGGTAAGTGAATGGGGCATTAATGTAATTATTTTAGGACATAACATCTTGATCATTTATAAAACCTAATGCCTTCCCTGATTTTTATTGTGCTACTTAAATTTGTTTTTTTATAGGAGGTGATAAATCAGAATGGTATCACTCACGTCCTGAATGTTAGCTACAGCTGTCCAAAGCCGGTCTTCATCTCCGATAACCACTTTCTACGAATCCCCATCAATGACAGCTACTGTGAGAAGATTCTGCCATGGCTGAATGCAGCTGTTGAGTTCATAGGTACTTGTTCATCAACATAATTTCCGATTTATTAAATCCTGTTTTTAAAGTTAATTCAAAAGTCAAAACTTTAATTTTAGTTTTTGATAACGTGGGAGCGGTTAGTATCCTTGTCAGGTATTTTGCTGTCTGTCCCTATTAATTGGATACACGCAATGATGACTGTCTCAGAGGGGATGTCCCTTACATTGGAGAGATTTCCTCTAATTTCTGTTGTCTCTGTCCTTAGTGTAGTAGAGCATCATCCAGGCACAAAAAAAGAATTTTGTGTTCTAACCCCATGTATAATTTTCTTTTTTAATTTTCCTCTTTCTCTCCATGTTGTGGTTGTATTATATACTTTAAGTAAATGAGAGTGGAAGCTGTACCTTATTAGGCCTTTCTGTGTGTTTACAGGAAAAGTGGAGCTGGTTAATGGCAAAGTGTTGGTTCATTGCCTTGCTGGTATTTCCCGCTCTGCAGCAGTGGCTATTGCTTATATCATGAGGTCGATGGGACTTTCTCTTGATGATGCTTACAGGTAAGAAGAAACAATACACCATATACAGACACCATCTTTATTGCAGAACTTATGGGGGACTCTAGTTGTTCATGCCTTCTATACGTGGTTCATTTTTATTTAATTTAAATTTTAAAATGTTATATTTTGTCTTTGGCATTTGTTAAAATGTTGTCAAATGACCAAGATGGGGATCAAATTATGCATCTGAATGAATGTCCGTACAGGTGAACACCCATCTAGTTCTGGCATATATTTTCTATGTGAAGGTCCATTCACATCTCTCCTAGCCATGGCATTGTGTTAATGTGTGTTATGTTAAGGCAGAGAGCTACAGTCGATGGCATGTGTGTTGTGGTGCGCTGCAGTGCGGGTGTTTGGCACCCCAATTCAAAATGAATGGCACCGCAACACACTGCACTGTGGTGTACGTGTTGGGGTAGCATGTGCTGAAACTTGCATGTAACACATTAATGTAAATCCAGCCTAAACGTTTCAGTATCTCGTCTTCCAAACTCCAATGCCTTGATTCTAGTAGTCATACCATGGCCAGGCATTGATAATGAGCAGCACTTCATGGGTTTTTCCGGGATCCTCATGGTGGGAATCTTTTCTACATGTTATGTGAAAACAAGAGTGTAGATCATTTTGAATATGAGTTATTACCTTGCTAACTTTTGTAATACATTTAAGTTGGGATTTCTTTGAAAAATTTGGATGACTTGGGAGTAAATCATAATAAACCATTTCATGTGTTTGTGTTGCAAAAATTTTATTTTTAACGACAGACATACACTTCTTGTCTTAACAGGTTTGTTAAAGAAAAAAGACCCACTATTTCTCCAAACTTTAACTTTTTGGGACAGCTTCTTGAATATGAAATAAGTCTCGCCAACTCACAGCAGTCACATTCTCTAAGTCCAGTTCAATTCGAGAGCTCCATGGATAGAGCATGCACTGATCAGTTACCTGATGGTAAGCTGACAAATAAGGAGCAGAATTGCCAAAATAATCATATCACCTCTACATCGCAGGATATAGAGGTGGCCATAGATGCGAACAAAATGGATGAAACCTTGGGAAAAGAGGAGTCTGAATCCACTTTGACCGGCAGGTTTACCTCCATGGGAATTTCCTCATACCAACGACATGAAATTAGTAGCTTAAAGCGCTCTTTCTCCCTGGACATTAAATCTGTGTATACTTCCTTATCCTCCTCTACAGAGGCAAACAAAAATTGTTATCAGCCTTCCAGGTCTCAGCTTGTCCCCTCAAAACCCATCTCCTCTAAACCAGTGGGACTGTGGGATCGTTTCCTTGGTTTTGGACTTAATTTCCTTTACTTCTATTCTGAAGAAGAAGAAGCACAAGAAAACCAATCCCTAGGCCACGGGGTAAGACCAAATGGAAATTGTGAGCAAAGTGAGGTTCCAGAAAACTTAAAAAAGAGGAGAGCAAACACAAAAACCCTTGACAAAGGACCTTCTCGTCCATTCACGCTCAATATTCCCAGCTGTAAAAGTCAAACGTTCTTGAAGGAGAAGTCTTTGGAAGTTGGCTCACAAGTAAGGACAATCTCTCCAGTTCCTCTGTGAGGAACCTCTTCCAGCTTTTCAAGAAAGACATTTGGGATCTAACAAATGAACAGAACATTTTTAGGTCTTGCTGGTTTCTTTTTTTCCCCCCCAGATTCTTTCTTTTCCGCATGTTCCAGACCCATGGCAGAACTGAATAGCATGCTGAAAATGTAATGTATTTTCAAATGTTTCTTCATATTGAATGAGCAAAACAAGAACTCTTTTTGTGGGCAACAGGCAAGACTTTGGTTCAGGTGATGGTGGAATTGCCAAAACTGGAGATTTGTCCCTATTTTTTTTTGTATATATATATATATATTTTGTTTTGGTTAAATGCTTTTGTGTGCAATTATCTAAACTGACCTGATGGGGTAGCATCGCTGCTGCTGTACAGCCTTCTTAAACCTGAAAAAAACTTATTATAGGTTAAAAATGGCCTTTTCTTTTTTTTTCTTTCTCTTTTTTTTTATACCAAACAAAGGGGTGACAAATGCTATACCTCGCGCTTCATCTTTTTGTTTGGATAATAATGTGGTGTGTTCTGACCATCCAGCTATGGACTGCTAACTTTAACTTGGTCCACTCATCACAATTATTCAAATATCGCACAGACTGGTCCATGCAATTTCACTCTTGATGTAATGTAGAAAAGTATTAAGGGTAGCACTGCAACATATATATTTTATTTTCCCCTAGGTCCTACTTGAATGTAAGCCCTAGAAGCCAAACAGTGTCTGTGACAATACTTTGCTGTCCTTTTTACCTCAGTTTATTGCTGTGAAATTTATTTAAAGACCCCTAGCATGCTTGGGGTGTGCTCTCCTGCATACAGCTACAGAATGTCCCCCGCCTCTCAGGACCCAAGGACGTATTTTGTCCTTTTTTACTATAGCAGGTGGTAAGAGCATACTTTGTTGTTGTTTATTTTCATTATTTATTTATACATGTGTTGTTGTCTTTTTATTATTGCTTAAGTTAATAATGATTGGAGACTTGTTAAGGTGGAACTGTCACTTTTACTCGTCAGAAGAAGCCATTTTGTGAAGTGGTATTCAGCCTGTTGATTCACAAAGAGCTTGAGGCAGACATTTTGGTCTGCTTGACCAATATTAAACTTTTACTTGACTGAAAAGAAGCGACTAGTTCCCAGTGAATTTAAATATTTGCAGCGACCACAAAATGGCAGTCTGTACTGTGCATGAATGGCAGATTAATATACCTACCTGTACCAAAGGCTTTGTGACCAGATGGAGGAATCCAGTTCATTTAGGAAGATAAGGCAAGCAGACACAATGTAGGCATTCACAATGCATTTCAACCAACTTGTCCCTTTTTGGAATATGCTGATCAATTACATTTTTCTAAAAATATTTTTTTGTGTGTGTAAAAATTGGCTATTTTCAGATATACTTTTTTTTTTTTTTAATTTAATGATTCTTGTGCTGACTCTAGACTGAGTGTCTGTTACATGGTGTTTTTGTAGGACATCCCTTCCCCAGCCTCCTGTTTTACATCTGTCTATGCTCTGACTTTCTCATACTTTCTACATTATTAAAACGGTTTTACAGTCACAGAATCTACTTTTTCTCTGCCATCACTTCATTTGTTTACTGCATTGGGTAATGCAGAGCGAGAGGTATGGTGTAGGAGGGATGTTCTAAAGTAAACACCATATACACCCAACGCAGAGTCATAAACCGTGTCTACGGAAAGGCTATCTCTGAAAACAGCCATGTTTGGCACATAGGGTATATTAGGAATGTTATTAACTTGAATCAAACTGATTCTTGAATATGATATTTAAAAAACTAAAGGTGTTCTTTAAGGGACTGCAGTGAATACATTTAAACCAAAATCGAGTATGAGGAAACATGCCTTCAAGCATATGTCATTGCATAGCAATTAATAAAAGTACCCATTGGCATTGCAATCATTGTTGGCATACTGAGCAGGTACAAAATGTGGTGATGTAATGTCCATGGATATCTTCACTCTAACTGTGACAGCCACTAGCCAAATAGAAAAAGATGAAATACTAGGGTTGTCTAGAGCAACCGGTCAGCTTTTGATAGCCAACGCTACAAAAGTGATGGCTAGAATATGATTGGTTGCCAAGGGCAAATGCTTCCACTCCATTTGGACAAGTTTTTATACATGAGGCCCAATTTTCTTGAATTACCTCATTCTAATAAATTAGAAAGATACCTGCATGTAATATCTTTCATGTACAGTTTGTTAAATGCAAGTTACCCTTTGAATTACCATAAATATCTATTTGCTTTATGAAACAGGCTTGGGAAGGAAAAAATTTAAAGTGGAAATCCCAGCATAACTGAAAAAAACTGAAACGCAGTGTCCTTTTCTCACCCGCTGATGTAGACGATAATGCTTGTATTACTAGGGAATCTGATGAAGAATATTTGCCTTACTCCATGGTCACATAGCAGCTGGCACTCTGTTCCTCTTCTCTCCAGAATCAAAATGTGGCTGCTGGGCCAGCATTGTATGTGATGCCTGTGTGAGAAGCGTCGACAAGACTAGTCAGTGGTCACACCCAGAAGAGACTGGGAGGGATACTGTGGGGCTGAGGAGTAAGGTAAGTATTTCCTGAATTAGATAATTCTCTGGTAAAACAAGCATATTCCTCATCAGCTGGGAGGGGGGGAGGGGAGGACAATATTTTACTTATGCCTGAATTTCTATTTTCAAGAAGCATTCCACTTCCTTCATTTTAGGAACTTGTACATCTAGGAGAGAAGATTTAAGCTAATCAGGTTTCATATTTTAAAGCGTAAATTATCCCCTGGTGTACCACTCTAAACTATATTGTATGTTTGTATTTGGTTGTCATGCATTTCCTAAAAGCCATCAAAATGGTTATAGATACCACCCATATCCCATAAATTAAGATATGTCTGCTTGGAAAATGGAAGAGTTGCTGGCAACAATCAATTGATTCCACTGATTCCATTAATTGCATTGGGCAACAGTGATTTCTCGATTACACTGGAAATACAGATTTTGTACAAGGTCTACCTTGATTCCCCTACCTAAAAATTATCTGGTGTGGCTTAAAGTTGGTTTAGGCTGGAGGCACGCTTTTGGGTTGCAGTAATGTAAGCTAGGACCTAAACACATTTGCGCCTGACCACGCCAGATGTGTATTGTGAGGCATTAAGTGGCCAAAAATGGTGAAGGTACGTTATTTAATGCATTGAGGATTGGCAGCCCTTTCAAATGAGATGTGCAGCCTTAACTTAATTAACATAAACAAGAGAAACTTATCCATTAACTCACATAAAAGTGTGAGTGGGCTCTTATTGTCGAAATAAGCTCCCCTGCTTCCTTGCCCACCTTTTTTAGTCCGTAGCAAAAAACATTTACAGTAATACCATGGATGGATAAAACCACTGTGCTGACTTCCACAGAAGATGACATGGTAACCAAATGGCTAAGCAGAGGATCCTAATTTGTGAATGGGTTCATTTTATTTGTAAGGGACCCCTTGAGAAAAGGGGTCATTAATACCCTGTAATCCTAAAATGCCTCCTAAGTTTCTTTACGTTTAGTGAATATTGGGTGAAGCTGATGGTTTACGAATGCTTCTGCATATCAAAGCCCTTACAGTGATTGTGCCCATAATGAAAATAATAATGGGCAGGTAAGTTTATCCCTGGTGGATAAGGCTAACTGCAGGAAGGGCATACAGATGTCTGATGTAACCATTTCCAGTAACAACCACAAAAAAAGAATTGCAGGCTGTTAATCTAGACCTAATCAATACAGTAATCAAAGGAGAGAATTTGAAGATTATATGCAGGATTTTTTAAAATCACTTTAGGCAAAGAATGGGTTTGTGCTTTAAGATTAACCATCTTTTTTAAAGCAATAGCCAAAGAATTTTGTAATTCAGTGTAAATGTGTTTTAAACAAAGTGCATTTATTTTGTAAGAGTAGCTGTGACACTTGGCTAGAGAACTATAACCCTTGGTCTACTGGGCACCATAGAAAACTTGTTAAAGTAGTAAACCAACTATGATATGTCATCCTGGTTTTAGGCAGAAATAAGCAGAACACTTTCTGCGACACTGCTTAAAGCAGGGATGGCCAAACACCGGCCCTCCAGCTGTGGTGAAACAACAAATCCCATAATGCATCTCTCTCCGGGAGTCGTGTCTGTGGCTGTGAGAATCTTGCAAAGCCTCATGGGATTCGTAGTTCCACCACAGCTGGAGGGCCGCAGTTTGGCCATCCCTGGCTTAAAGAGACACTGAACTCAGGCGTTAAATCATAAATGTATAAAAGTTCTATAACTTCATCACTCAGCTGTAGATCCTCAAATCATCTCTGAATTGGTGCTGACACTGTCCTTCCTTCTGGAGGGGGGCTACTTTTGTTCCCCATGGTCCCTGTTATAAAATAGCCACAGCTTCAAGCTTGCTTCCATGATGGACTACAATCTCACATCTAGTTTACCAATTTGTATTGAGATTGTAGTTCATCATGGGAACAAGCTTTGAGCGGTGGTTATTTTACAACCCACACAGGGACCGTGGTGAACAAAAGTCGACACCCTCTAGAAGGAAGGGCAGTGCGAGCATGTATTCAGAGATGATTTCAGGATCTACAGCCGAGTGATGAACAAATAAGATACATTTTTGTTAATCGTTAAAGTGGTATTAAGGTCTAGGCGTTTTTTACCTTAATGCATTCTCTGCATTAGGGTAAAAACGGCCCAGCACCTTTTTTCTCCCCCACACTTACCTGTCAGCTACGCTAGTCCCCGCCCAAATCCTCCGTTCCCCGAACTTCCTGGTTGTGGGGGGAGGATACTGATGGCAGAGGAGCCATAGGCTCCTTCTGCCATTAATCAAAGAGAAGGGGCGTTTTCTGCCACAGGGCTGTGTGTCTATGGACGCACACAGCCACTGCAGGCACGAGCACGCATGGGTGCCTCAATTAGTCGATTGAGGCACCCGTGCAGGGGGCGGGGGGAAGATTGCTGTGGGGACCCACTAGAAAATGAGGAATTAAAAACTTTTAAAGAAAAACAGCAACAGCCTCAAGCAAAGGCTTTAATATCACTTTAAGGTACTTGAGTGCATTTTTAAGATTTATCTCCTGAGTTTAGTGTCACTTTAAGTTTTAAAGCCAAATGCGGTATTCCATAGGCAGTGCAAGGATCCCTTTTATCAACCCTACTCTTTACACTCCATACAGAATCATCTGTTTTCAGCTTTAATATCGGTAAGAACAACACTGATACCCAAATGCCAGTCTGACCCTATTCTTTT